GCCTTGTTTGGACCCAAATTCATCTTAATTCACATGTGTTGTGGTGCATTGGAATAGAATTTAGTTCAAGGTTTACTCCAATCCACCCAATACATATGGATCGAAGCGAATCCGACTACATCCAAACAAAGCCTAAAAGGTTTAAATTACTTGTGTATAATTCAATTCATGCATTCCTTTGATTCTTTTTTGATTCCTTTGTTTAAAAAATGCATTCCTTTGATTCTGTCCACCATTCTTGTGGTATACGCTTATAGGGTGTTTGGTTGAAGGAATCACTCCATCCTATGAGCATGAGCTATTAGTATTAATTATTAGCTTATGAGTAATGAGGTAATAATGCAACAACATATTCCATTCCACAAAACAAACAGAAAAATGATGACTGAGTAGATGATGGACTAACTCAATCCTCAAACCAAACACACTATTAGTGTTTGACCCACACATATATAATACATTATTCTAATCCTAATAACTGAATTGTATATATCAGCTAAGTGCTTGTTTGGCTACATGGATTGGGGTAGATTGAAATGCAGCCTCTAATATATATACACGCTCGCAAGAGAAAAAACAAAGCAGGAAACAAACAGAAGACTGATAGGAAAATAAAGTTGCCTTCTTAATTACTCTGGATGTTTAACATATACACGTTTGAATTTTTAATTAGCATTATGTTACCCGTAAGATGTTTTCCCTTGTCTCTACTCTATACATATCACCAAAAGCTGTTTTGTTCCAAGAGATCTCAAGTGTTCTGAGATTTCTTTAATTTTGAGCATCATTTTTTTTTGCTTTTATTTATAGGGCCGGTGAAGGTGCAACGCGTAGATGATCATCATACAAATGCATGCATCTATCATTTGAGGTCAACGGCTGCAACATCATATCGTTTGCACGCTGATGGCAACGTACGTGGCGGCTAGCTAGCTGGATGCATGCATTGCCCGGCAAGTTCGTAACCTAACAGAGATGCAGGCAGCCAGTATATACTGGCCAGAGAATTAATCAAAGGCAAACATTGTTTTATGCTTAGCAAACATCAGACATTCAGACAGAGTGTTGATAAGTGTCGGGAATTTCTTTATAACGACATAGCAGAAAAGTAGAGGATACCTGATTTATTCTATCGCCTTACGTACATTATTCCTTTATTTTTTATATAAAGAGACAATTAAGAAAAATAGATTAATTACAACAATATTTCTTCTTTAGTGATCTCACATTCTTCAATTTCCTCTCTCATGGTCAAACTTTTCCCGAGAAGTTCTGGGAATTCTCTGGGTGTTTTTTTTTTCATAGGAACTTTTGGTTGAATTTGAGATACTGTTTGTGAACTTTTTTTTTAGAAAATGGAGCTGCCTTTGCTGCTAGCTAGCTAGGATATCATGATCACCTTTTTCCACCAAAAGTTTGATCAATTACACATCACATAGCTTGTTATACACAAAGTGTGCCATGCATAAACCAAAGAAATTAATATAAAATCCTCTCACTCATCTAACATAACCCCGTAACTGATCCATTGTTAGATGACGATGGTCCAAACAGAACGAAGTTTGTTTTCTAGGGCCCAATAATTAATTTCCCATATAAATCCTGCCAAATGCCTAAAGTAACAAGTTTTTTTTCCGAACCACGGCACCTCGAAGAGACTGAGACTATGTCGAATGATCTAAAAATTGACGAACTTACCATAAACGTCTTGTTATCACGATCACGTCCCCTATCACTGAAAGAACAACTAACACCGTTTTTTACCACAATGAACCTAACCGGCCCGTTGAGCTCAATTCGCCCGGACGAAGCAACAAGCTGAATACTATGGCTGGATATTCCTGTTTGTTTCGCTGAAATTTGGCTTATGCTAATGATTATGCTGATTTGTTGTGAGAGAAAAACATTGTTCGTTCGCTGAAAAGTACTGCTGAAGTAGTGCTTTCTATTATTTTATTAACTTTGCACAAATATAGAACAGTTGGCATTAGTAGCAATTAATGTCTCACTCCCGAACCCTAATGATGATTCATATATAGCTTCTTTTTGTCAAAATTGACTTGGATCTCTAATTTAAGATGAAACATGAGAGATCAAGTGGCAGGTCAATATAAAACTAACTGCTCCGAAACCAGTCATCCTACCTGACCCTGACTCGATCCAAGGACACATCGTATTCTGCCTTTCTTTCTTTTTAAAAAAAAAGTCTAATTATTGTGCCTAGCTTTTCCATGGTTTGTAACCACTCCCTTATATTTCTTGTACAAGCACTCCACCTCAATCAGGCTCCAAGTCCTACTTTTGCTAGTTTCCGGTCAGAAGAAGCCATAGCCAGGAAGAAGAAGCCATAACAAGCTAAGGGGGGAACTAAAGAAGAACAGCGGCGCATCAGATGCGAAGAATCGAAGCTGATTTTTTGAATCATATACCTTTCCTGCTTCATCAATCCAGTTAAGACTTGAGAGAGAGGTTCGAGAGAGAAAAGAAGGTCAAAGTGATCAAGAAGCTTAGTAAGCTGCCGGCCGCCGCACTGGTAGAAAGCTAAGTGATTGCATGCATGGGGGATAGGACATGGCAGCAGCCACAGGAGCAGGCTCCTTATCCAGACACAGGGACGATGGTCCAAGCTTCATCCTCCTCCGTCCATGGCAGCATCATGTAAACCCTAACACACATAGATAGCTAGATTCGAATCTTGTTCTATTTTATTGCGAATAGATATGTAGAATTGAAGGTTGTTGCTCTATTTCTTACTTGCTTTTGGCTCCTCTCTTCTGATTTCTGAAGCATATATGAATCTTTTCTCGTGCCTTATATTTTATATGGCCCTTAGTCTCTTCTCTGGTTTTCATCATCTTTTTCGGCCCTGTGCTTCAGCTAATTAAGGTTTTGGAGAGTTATTTTCATGTCGCGCGGTTATGATTGTTAGCTACCTACTACGCAGGCATGGTTTGGGAGCATATATAACCATCTATCTACTATACTTCTGGAGATTATGAATGATGTTTGGGCGTCCTATTTTTTTAAAATAATTCTTTCTTTAATTAGTCTGTACTTGCATATGTAATATGCACTACTCATGACGTATGTTCAGAGAATGCCATGCTGTAAGTCTGTAATAACCACGCATGCAAGCTATCAAAACTTTTATATATATTTTTTCTTATTTAATTACGAGATGTCAATTCAATCCTATCAAAGTTAACCGTGGTCCGCAGTATTTCCCTTCTACTAAGTGGAAATGAATTGTGTACGTGGAAATGTTAGCTTACATTAATTTATTTATTATTGGTAGCATTTCCAGTGGATTTAATTAATTTAATTGTTGAGCATCAAAATTTTTGTCTTTACATTAATTTATTTATTTATTATTGGTAGCATTTCCCTAGTATATCATTTTAGTAACTGACCGAACTAAAATGATGGTTGATATCAACTTAATTTATAATTGTGTGTGTATTAATTTGTGCAAGTGCAGCAGAAAGGAACCTGGAGGAGGATATGACATGGCCGAATTCGATCAAGCGCTCTTCCTCTATCTTAACAGCCAGGATCAAGCATCAGTTATTCAAGATCAACCTCGTAAGCCACACTTAGCTTATGCATATACATAGCTGCATAGGTTGATCATACATGGCAGATTAATTAATAATTAAACATAAACATGCATGTCATTTAGTCATGCATCTACCCTGATTGGACATGGTAAAACAAGAATGAGCCAAGATGCGAGACAATGGCGTGATCAAACCTCTCCATCGTTTTTCCTTCTTGTATGCAAAGCTTGTTCAGTCTGAGTCTGACAAAAGCCAATTTCAGAAAAGGAAAAAAAAAGAATCTCTGCTAGTTCAAGGAGAGTGACATGTAACAAACACATGCTCATGTATGTGTGTTCATTCTGGATAGGTCATTTTCTTTCTGCTCAAATAAGGCATTCAGGCAGAGATATGATTTCTCATTGTCCAAATATCCTTTACCACTTATCTACTTCCAAGAACCATATACACGCATATGTGCATGCATTTTTTTTTTCCTTTGTCCGTATTGAGTATATATTCTCCTATACATTTATTCTTCGCTTTTAACTATATAATGTATAGGACAAGCTAATAATTACTTCACAATAGTGTCATGATCAACTTTTGGTAGAATTTGTGGGAAGAAAGAAATCGAAGAACATCCTTCCATAAAGCCGGTCTCCAAACGGCCGGTTGAATTAGTTTAATTATATATGTCAAGCAATAATTTCGTTTGGCACCCCAAACTCATGGATCGTTATTCCAAGCATTAGTCCATTTTTTCTCTACCGTTGTACAAGCCGCCCTCTATGGTTTTGATCTTTTTTGTTGTACTTTTAGCTCATATATTCTAGTACTAGTAGTAGTTGTAGGGGCTGTGCTGTTAGGTAGCGTTTGGTTGAGAGTCAAAGTGGGGTGGGACGGTCCTGACTCTGATTCGTGGGATGGGACGGCTCCATTTTCTGTTTGGTTAAGGAGAGATGGGACGAACCCGTTTTCTGTTCGGACCAGAGACAACAAAAGTGGGATTAGCTACTGACAAGTGGGACCCAATTGTCAGTTTTTTTTTAATTTTTTTCTTCTCTTCTCTTTTCTTTCCTTATCTCTTCGATCCCAACCTCGTCTCCTCCGCCGGCGCCTGGCTTCCCCAGCTTGCCCCGCGCCTCTATCCAGCGACCTCGCCCCGCGCCTCCTTCCTTCGAGCTCGCCCCGCGCCCACGAGGCGGCGGCGCTAGCCCACGAGGCGCCGGCGCTTGGTGGCCGGCGAGGCGGCGTGCTTGCGTTCGCCCACGAGGAGGCCTGCGAGGCGGCGGCTCTCGCCCGCGCGGCGGCCCGCGAGGCAGCGTGCTCGCCCCGCTGGGTTCCTCCATCTTCGAGCTCCCGCGCGCCCGTCCTTCTTCCTCCCATCCTCTCCCATGGCGGCAGGGCCGGCCCCATAGCTCGGGCGCCTGCCGGGGGCGGAGCTCGCCGGGGCCGGGCACGATGGCGCCAGGGGCGGAGCTCGCCGAGGCCGGGCACGCCGGCGCCAAGGGCGGAGCTCTGCTCCCATGGGCGCGTGCGGTGCCTGTGGATCTCTGTCTCGTCGGATCTCCACCTCCGAAGCTCGCCGGACCTCAGTCGCCCATGGACCTCCACCTTGCCGGCCTCCACCGCGCCCGACCATGGCCTTCTCTCTTCTCTTCTCCGCGTCGCTCTTCTTCCCGACGGCTCGTCCCACCTGGGGCCGACCCCGTCCGTGAAATTTTGGGGGACGGGGTCGCCCTGCATCTCACGTGAATATTCGCGTGGAGGCCGTCCCGCTCCACCTCGCCTCCGAACCAAACAGGGTTGATCCCAGGACCATCCCACCTAGTCCTCCCAACTAAACACACGGTTAGATCCCAGAGCAGTTGCATGGCTGCTTGTATTTTTTTCCTCTTGTTTTTTGTGTGTTGTTCTTGTTTAGTTTGGTCACTGTGTTTTCCTCCTAATAATAATATAATAACTCTCTTAATTGCCGTTTTCTAAAGGATAAATTAGTTCAATGGACTAATTAGCTTTGTTGTAAACGTCATGTGCATATGGTGTTCATGCATGTTTTGGCACGCTGTGCATGCAGAAACTCTCAACATCTTCCCTTCTCAGCCAATGCACGTCGTCGAGCCCGTACCAAAGGTACGTACGTATATATGCATTAAATATTCATCAGCTTGAATACACGCGATGCATATATGTGTGTGTATATATATATGTGTATATATATATATGTATATATATAGTGTTTAATTGGGATACATGCGTTTTCTTTTGGAATATTATTTTTGGTTTCAAATATTCTAATCGATCAAATTTCTAGCAGGGATCCATGGGGACTAACAACACGGCGTCGAACGCCGCCGGCGCTGGCCCGTCCAAGCAGCAGCAGCCGCCATCTTACCATCCGTCGAGGACGACGACGACTCTGGCGGCAGGGCCGCCACCGCCAAATAAGGACAGAGGCAAGCCGGCAGCCGGCGGCAAGGTTAGTTCACTCACCTGACCGTCCGTCCGGATCCTTATATATATACACACAACACACCAAGCTGACATGCCCATGCCATATTGTCGTCGTCCTCAGAGAGAAGGAAGCAGCGGTGGCGCCATGGGAAGCGGGACGCCGTCGACGTCGAATAATCCACAGGAGGGGCCCAGAGCTTCGGACGCCAAGACGCTGAGAAGGCTCGCGCAGAACAGGGAGGCCGCAAGGAAAAGCAGGCTTAGAAAGAAGGTATAATGGTATATATGTGTGTTTCCATTTCATCCTGCGCCTAACCAAGAAAGAGAGTCCTAACAAAACCAAGAAAATGGTGAAATTAACTTTGGATAATTTGTCATGGGATTCTCAGCTCATTTCCTGTATGTTTCCCATACCATTTCTTCATGTGGCCGTGGATTGATTAATGTTCGTTTTCATTTGTCGTCTCTTCTCTCTAAAATATAATCGACTATCGTAGGCTTACATTCAGAACCTAGAGACAAGCAGGATTAGGCTGGCCCAGCTGGAGCAAGACTTACACAGATCCAGAGCTCAGGTATGAACGAACTGAAAAGAAATATATATGCTAAATTAATAACAATGTATTTCCAACTTTATTACTGAAGAGATTTGGAATTAACATGAAGTAGGGAGGCCTGCCAAAAAAGAACTTACTAATTTAATCTAGTTATATTATTATTATTACTAGAGTATATTCAGTAGCTAGCTATAGAATAAGTTATTTTATAGCCACCTCCATGTACGATAACTTATATATACTTAATTTACGATAAAGTGAATACATATTTACGATAGTTATATTATTATAACACATGGGGATATTTACCGTAACATTATAGTAAACCACTTAGTAAGAAGTTACTGTAATCACATAAATTAGCATAGTAATTATCGTAACTCAAAGTGGTTACAGAATAAGTTATTCTACATATAGCCCGCTGCAGAGTAGTAGTTCTAGGTAGAATCAGCATTTTTTAGAAAAAAACAAATGCATAATAAGCTTATTATAAAAGTGAAGATAATATAGTTCCATATACTTTCATAAACGTACTGACTGAGTTTGTTCCGTGTGCATGCATTTCGCCAAACAAATCAACCAGGGAGCAGTGTTTGGTGGTGGAGGAGCTCTTTCTGGTTGCAGTGGCGGACTAAGCCCAGGCATGCATTCAAACCCTAGCTAAACTGCATGCTCGCATGCATGCATCTCTTACATTACGTACTCCTAAGTCCTACATGCTAGCTCCTTTTTTATACTATCTCTCTTGCATGCATTGCACATTTTACACGTTTATTACAAGTTGATGAACATTGCAACCATGCATGATCGAGCAGAGGCGGCATGGTTTGACTTGGAGCACGCGAGGTGGCAGGAGGAGCACGGCAAGATGATGCGCCACCTGCGGGCGGCGCTGGAGGCGGAGCACGCGGCGGCGACGTCGACGCCGGCGCCGGCGGACTCGCAGCTCCTCCGGCAGCTGGTGGACGCGGCCGTGGCGCACCACGGCGTGCTGGCCGAGCTGAAGGCCGTGGCGGCGAGGGCCGACTCGTTCCACCTTGTGTCCGGGGCGTGGGTGTCCGCCGCCGAGCGCTGCTTCCTCTGGATGGGCGGCTTCCGCCCTTCAGAGCTCATCAAGGTTAGTTTTAACTTTTTTAACACAAACAACTGATTAATTGGTACTAGTTTCGTTAAATTCGTGCCACACCTTGCTACATGAAGACTGGTGATAGAAAAATTGAAAACCGGATCGACCCTTTCTTTTTACAAAATAATAAACTGATTGAGAGACATGCTGCATGCATTTTGATATGATAAAATAAAAATATAATGTGTGTGATATATTTTATTTAATTATCATCACTCTATCAAGTGTATGAAATTCATCTTCTTACACAATGGACAAAGGAAATAAAGTGTTATAGAGACTACTTGGTTGAAAGCCAATATTTGCCATGCCAGTTTTAGGGCAAACCAAAATGTTGGCACCTAATTTTACGGCGAGCCACTGTTTTTGTAAGGCAATCAACGTTGGGACTTAGTTTGCTACAAGAAAGAAAAAAAAAGGATGATATTGCCTTGCCAAAATTTTGTCTCAAACCAATGTCAAATCTTTTGAACTTACCGACATTTTGGTTGGGATAAAAATTAGCTTACTACGGCCCAGTAGGCACTTAACATGTTCTCCCTCTGTTCTTGAATATATCAATTCCTAAAGCTGTTAAGTTAATTTTTTTAAGTTTGACTAAATTTATAGAAAAAAATACAAATATTTATGACACAAAATGAGCATATTATCAACAATTTGTTTATGGTGTATCTAATGATATTAATTTAATGTCATAAATCTTAGCCCCTTTTCTATAAATTCGGTCAAATTGAAAAAAAAAATGACTTAAGACAACTCTAGAAAATGATTTATTCGGGGACGGCGGAAGTACAAAGTAGTAACCATGCACACCATTTAAACGATGAGCTCAAGTTTCTGTAAGCATGAGCTCACGGCTACACACTCACGTATGATAAACCAATTGCGTGCTACTAGCTCCTTTCTTTAATTGGTGTTCCCAAATCAAGTCCACGAAATTATTAGTACATAGAAGTAGTGCATTGCGTGTCTAAACTTTGACCCACACAATGACACACTGCACAGTACCAGCCTAGCTGCCTCCTCCTTGTTTTTGGCCATGTACACCGTACACGAGGCATCCATGCATGAGTCTCACGACGACTCACGGCTCGTGAGTGAGAGTGACGGCTATGATATAGGTTCCAGCTGTACGTGCTGATGATGTAGGACAAATAGTAGTGATACACACATAGAAATACATAAAATACATATGAAAAGGTTAAGGATTCAGGTGCTATTTGGTACTAATAATGGACAGAGACATTAGTTAGGTAAAAGCAGCATCAATGGAGAAATGTATATATGGTGGATTAGCTAGCTGATTAGGTAGGTAAGAGGTCCCTACGTTGATGGGAACAGTTTTAGGCCTTTGGAATTGTCTTCGGACTTTTCTAGCTATATAGTACCAGCAGCCATCTACTACTACTATGTGACTGGGTACTTACTGCAACTGCGACAGGGTAGTAGGTTAGATGGGAGATGGAGACGGGTTTGGTTTACTTACCTACAACAATGCAAAGGACCTGCTTGGCCTTGACACATGTGTATGCCTTTCGGCTTCTAGATGGATTGGTTGGAACTTGGAACTTGGAACTTGCAACCTGGGAACGACCAACAACCCTGGGTTTCACAATAGTACAAGAAAAAGTCCCTGTTACAACTCTAAAGTATAGGTAGATGTCTCTATTCTCCCAATACAACGCGAACTTTTTTTTCTTAAACTGTCAAACTTGCAAGGCGAACTTTTTCTTAAACCATCAAGCTCTGCTTATTGTATGTGTACGTTACAATAGGGTGTATCGATCATTTTATTGTATATATAGTCACTTAGACCAATTCATGATAATGGTAATTAGTTAACTATCTTTTTCTTTGAAAACACAGGAGAGCTGCATTTCATTGTATTAGCTAACTATCTTTATTGGATTTAATTAGGCTTGACCCGACCTTATTTCGACTAAATCAGAAAATGTGGCAAAAAAAGAGAAAATAGGTCACCAAACCTCGTATCCAAGTTTCTCAAGCATCAATGTGTTTTTCTAAAATTTTATAGAATTTTCAGGTCACCTTTTTATAGAATTTGACTAAACTTTGAATTTCTTGGAATTAAAATAAAAGCTAAATCCTTTTCTCTTCCTTACTTGCTCTAGGTTCTTAGAGCAAGTACATTAAAGTGTTGTGAGTGGGTTGTATGCTAAAGTGAAAGAGTGAGAGGAGAATTGGGCTGACCGGCTTAGACAGAAAAACCAAGAAATAAACTTTGTGAGAGAGACAAATAAGGCATGTATTAATAATAAAGAGTTAACTACTATATAAATAGGCTGAGAGATATGCTGTAAAGATCCATTCAGCCAGCAGCAGGCTATACTATTAGGCTTGCTCTTAGCCCAACTTTTTTTTTCTCACCCAAACCTACCTTGAGCTTTTGGACCATTTATTTCCCATCTTATCTCTTTTCTAGGCCAACTGGGGTGTGGACTGCTCCTTCCCTCCTTCTGGCCTGACAATGGCCAGGCTGCTACATTCTCTCACACTCTACCTCCTCCTCCCTTATAGTCGTCCTTGTGCAGCAAAGATACAAGGCATCTCTTACAGTGAAGGGATTGATCCCATATAGAAAATCGACTAGATATTGACTCGGTTTGAAGGAATGGCTACATTATGTGCACCTATCATGAGGTTAAGAAATATGAAATGTGAGCCACACACACGCATGTGGCATGGGCTCAGGAAGCGAGGCTACGATAAGAGTGTCCAGCATCAATAAAGGTTTTGCAGTTCTACATTGTAACCAACGTCGTATCTGAGAGGATACGATCTATTTGTAGTTCCAAACTATAGGTAATGTCGTGTTAAAGGAGGAATACTATCTATCGGCCCTCGAACTCTTTGCCATGGGCGTATGTTTATCACCCAAGCCTCAGACTCTGGGTTTATGTTTGCCACTTGTGAAGGCAAGAAGAGTTAGAGAGTCTATGTTTGCCACTTGTACTTGTGAAGACGAGAAGAGCTGTAGTGAGAAGCGACGGATCAAAGGATGGGAGAAGAGGTATGTGGGTGAGGGATGACAAACGGCTGAGAGAGTGATGAACTAAGAGGTGTAAGAAAGAGGAACGAACGGAAGAAATTTGTTGCCTCTAATATTAGACTAGCAAGCATGCTCATGTGCAGCTTGCGTCATCTCTTAAAATCAGACTCTATATCGTGATGGAACTTGCGCTGTTCTAACTCATGGATGGTGAGGACCGGGGCATAGAGTGATAATGAAAATTTAGAGGTGATTTTTTTTATTTTCTATATAGATATACATATCATATCATATCAAGATCTCTTGTGTTTGAGAGCCTGTTTAGTTCTCAAAATTTTGCAAAAATTTTCAAGATTTCCCATCACATCAATCTTTGGACGCATGCATGAAGCATTAAATATAAATAAAAAAGAAAACTAATTACACAGTTTAGACGAAATTCACGAGACGAATCTTTTAAGCCTAATTAGACTATGATTGGACACTAATTGCCAAATAACAACGAAAGTGCTATAATATCATTTCCTAAAAAAATTCGCCAACTAAACCACCCCTGAGTCAAGGGTTTCACTGCTCCACTGTTCATCACCAGTAAACCCATCCCAGCCGTCCGTTTGTTCACCGACCACATCAGTCTATCTCCGGGTGTTAAAAGCTCATATTCATTTACCTATCGGTAGTTCATTCCTCTAATGCTGAACATCATAATGGAGTATATTCATATGTATAATATACTAATACTAATAAAATTAATTTCGTGCGTGCTTTTTTTCATGGTTAAGTTGTCCAAATTTCAATTCTTATCAGCCAGGCAAGCACTTTCAACTTTGATTATTTATTAGTGCCGCTATTTTTTTTTCTCAAAAAGAGTAATTTGAAGATATCAATGAATTAACCATGCAGTATGCATCCCCACGCAGATAGCGGCCCGGCACGCGGAGCCCCTGACGGAGCAGCAGGCGATGGGCGTCTGCGGCGTGCAGCAGTGGGCGAGGGACGCGGAGGCGGCGCTGGACCACGAGCTCCAGGCGATGCACCGCTCCGTCTCGGAGGCCGTCTCCTCCGACGCGGCGGCGCTGCTCTTCCCCTACTCCGACGTGCCCGACTTCATGGCCACCATGTCCCTCGCCATCAGCAAGCTCGCCTCCCTCGAAGCCTTCGTCAGACAAGTAAGCAAAGCTAGCACATGCCTGCCTGCCTGCAAGCATTTTGTGTGTTTCCCATGATGAAATGGTAACAACAACAATGGTGAACGCGTGCTTGGTGGCATTGCATTGCAGGCGGACGCGCTTAGGCTGCAGGCGCTGCACCGGCTGCCACAGATCCTGACGGCGCGGCAGTCTGCACGGTGCTTCCTCGCCATCGCCGACTACTCCCACCGCTTCCGCGCCCTCAGCGAACTCTGGCACAACCGGCCAGGCCAAGTTTCAGCGGCGAGCAACCCGGCGGCCGGCCCCAGCCAGAGACCGCCCTACCAAAGTAGAGACGGTTTACTATAGACACTATAAGAGCCTGCTCAGCCTGGGATAGTTTCAGAGATACAGATAGAGGTGATCACTGATCAGGAATTCAGATGACCCATTTCTCGCTTATTTGACATCAGCTCTAGCCTCTAGGAGTGTTTATACACATGTAACTGTGGAGTATATATAAAGGGTAATAGTAAGCAGTAGCTGATTCAGCAGTATGAATATGAAATAGTAGACAGGAATAATAACTGAAACTGCCCAATTGCCAAGCTGATTGACATGTCAGACACTCAGAAGATGTAGCATTCAGATTGATACATGGTGAGAAAACAAATTATTGCATAACTATTGCCAAATAATGGGTGCTACATGCAACAATTGTCATGTACAGCCAGCCTCCCCCAATCTCAGCGTGAAAAAGGGCAGTTAGGTTGACAAATTGTAGTTAAAATAAACTTCAGTACAGGGTGTACCTAGTATGAAATGTCAAATGTGGTTACAGGGTTCAGCAGATGTCGCAACCCCAAGTTCAGAACAGTCACACAACATAAAGTGCCATGACAAGGATGACTTCTCTCTCACCTTCTGGTGTTACAATCTATCAAGGGCGTCGATGATGGCCTTGCGAAATGCGTCATTGTGGAGGAAAAAAGAGGAAACATGGCCGCCTGTTACCCACCGGACTTCTGAACCTGGCCATGCCTTCTGGAGCTCCATGACTGAATGTCTGGGAATATAACCGTCATCCTGTAAACAGAACATAGCTCCAGATTAGAAGAATGCTCCAGACAAACAAGACTACCGAGTAAGAAATCGAATCCTCTGAAATAAGAAGGTAATTTAACCAATCTTTAAAAAAAAAAAAAGAGTCCTCAAGTAAACTATCTGCTATCAATGTATGTTTCAATTTCTCAACATTGCTCAAGCAAGCTAAGGTAACCTGCTGTTTGCTGTACACAGTGCAGGTAAAAGTCATATTTTGAGTACTCACACCATTTCCTTTTATAAGCTGTAACAGGATTTGATAGTTTTTCAAGATAATCTTTGACCATTAATTTCTCAGTGTATAAGCAATTACTACAAATAAGCATCCTACTAAAAGGCATAAACACAAATCTATTGATATATCATTGTGCACTAAACACACATATATTGACTAACTGATGATCCAAGTTTATAGTGTTTGACTTTTTACTTAAAACTAATACACCCTGCATTTTGAAATGGAAGGAATAGTAAAGTAGGCAGTCAACTAGTGACATAATCTGATCGTGGTTAGTGGTTACTCTGCCAAAATCATGAAACCAAGTAAAAAGACGAAGGAAAACAATTAAGTTTTTGAGATAATAAACTGATGTTAAAAGGCCATAAAGCTCGGAGAGCATCACTAACCGTTGCACCAACAAAGATGACCGCCTGTGGGTTCTTTGGGACTGGGAATCGAGTGACATCAGTCAAAGACAACACTGACCGCAACCTATCTCTGACTTGTTCGATAGTAATCCCAGTTTTCTGTGCAGCATCTTCTGCCAAAGATGTTACATCTTGAGTTAATGCTGCAGCATCTTCTCTCAAAACATCCCAAGCTGTGGCGTATTTGTAGACCCCTTCACAGAAAGGTACCACAGCAGAGTGTGGAGCGAGAAATGGCAGTGTGGCAATTGGTGTAGGATGCAGGGATCCCACCATTGCAGCATGTACTCCACCTGTGACATCAGCAAAGAAACCATTTGAGAAGAATGCACAAGATATCTTGTAAAATCTGCTACATGATTTCTAAGACGCACTTATTCAGTCATCAGGAAAACCAGTAATTTTAGCAGTGCTTGAATTTAGGTACTTGGATGTCATGGATTCACAGAAACAAGTGTCTTTGATGGTGCCTCCCCCTCACTCTTGATGGCTTATCAGTATTTCAAATAGGACATGAGATTATGGGGCCTAGCTGGAGCTAGAGAGCTTCAGGAATTGGGCACAGGTCAGGGGCTAGGACTAACATGATTAGTCCAGGCTAGGGTTGTTCCTTGTTCTATTTTGTTTCAAGTGTATGTTATTTTTACCCCTAGTCTTTTAAGGTCACCCCTTCATATTCCCTTGTGAAATAAGGGGGTTGTGTTGTATTGTATGGGACCGTTCTTTCTCTCTCTCTCTCTCTCATACAAAGATACGCAGATCTCCTGCGTGTTCGGGAAAAAAAAGGAAAACCAGTATTACATACCCATGCTGAGCCCACATACGCCCATCTTGCTGTAACCAGCCTCAGTCTGCAGCCAGTAAAGGAGACTGCGAGCTTCATCAATTGTGGCTTTCCTAAAAGTAACAGGTCACTGACACACTGGAGCTTTGCACCACGCTGCATGCTAGGACGCCGCTGTCCATAATAGGGGCTGTGGTTCATGAGATATCAGATCTTGGCAAACAGTGGATAAAAAATCATACAAAAGAATGCAAGCAAATCTCACCTCTCAAGAACCATAGTTGCAATATTGTTCTTAAGAAGAGGCCCACCGAGCCGAAGCCTGCGCTCAAATGTGTGATCACCAGTGCCTATAATATTTCAGAAAATGTAGATTAATTCATTACATGCGAGTAAAGGAATATTTTTATAAAAAAGAGGCATGAGATTTTGATAAAATGGAAGTATACATTTTTAGGCAAGAACAAGTTTACGATGTTGCTTAGGCGTTCGTGAATCAATGATACTTACAATAAAAAGGACTAGTAATTGTTCTTGTTTGGCACTTGGAAGCAAGAAAAAAAATATCTTGAAGATAGGGAAGTTGTCAAAGAGGAATGTTAAAGTTGGCAGTGCTAGAAAGCCAGCAGACAATACATCCATATAGCATTCCACTAGCAAAAACCTTTTAAAAAGTGAAATGCATACAAGCCAAACAGTCATATCAGAAAAGGTTTTCATAACCTATGCAGCATTAGGGAACAAATAAAGAGCCTGTTCGTTGGTTGGTTTCTAGGCTGATAAGCCCGGCTGGTGCTGGTTTGTTGTGAGAGGAAAACACTGTTGGTTGGCTGATAAGGCCTGGCTGAAACCAACAAGCGAACAGGCTGAAAGAAACTACAAAATCATGTACCTGCAAGATGGACCACACATGACATCTTCTCAGGTGTAACATTTTTAGGGGTAAGAAAAGCAACTCTTGCATTGTGACTCTCAGGGGGCAATGCGTCAATTAGTCGCTCATCACATGTAGTCCTGAAAACACCTTCTCGCAGACAAGAACTGTTTGTCTCCCACACTGTTTTCCACATAGGCTGCACAGCAGTTGGTGGCCAGTTTTGGCAACGTGCCTCTGGAAACAGCTGCTTCACCATCTTTTCTAGCAAATCAAGTTTGGTACCTCCCCATCCTTTTGAGAAAAATGGTGTTCCTAGTTTGGTGCGATGAAGAAGAGTTCCATATATGTGGTCCAGTACATAATGCACTAACCCAAGATTAACTGATACCATGTCCAACCACTGGTTAAATAAACCTGATTCTCCAAACCTTCTTTTTATAAATTATAATTACAAGACCAAGATATGCCTGCAACACAAAATCAACAAGAATCAAGGTTTAACATACTTTAGGAAATTCAATGTAGCAGGAACACTTAACAGAAGGACAGTCTGCAGCATATCACAGGCACACAGTGGAGGCTCACACAGTTGTTTTTGACAAGTGTCGACCCAAAACTTTTTTGCGGGTTATATTCAGAGAACGCATTGGCTACGCCAATGGGTGCAATTAGAGCGGGATGAAGCCAATAAACAGCACATTATCCAAGTCTGTCAAATGCTAGAGGCAATGTCAATGGATTTTTCTGTGTCCTTTGGATGGCCTTATAATTTTAGAATTGTGTTTTGAGTGTGACATTTGTGTGGTTACACAATACTGTAATAAGTGGTCTAATTATCTTGGAGACAGGAGATGAAGCCAGATTTATTTCCATTATCTAAAGAAGATAGGGCATAGCAACACGAATTAAACGATCAACGATATATAGAGCAGTGAGCTACAAAAGCTGTCCAGATTTGGACACAACCAGAAACCATAATAAGAGTAGAGAACTGCTAAGGGACAAAGCCAAACTAGAGTGGTCGGTTCTGAAATTGGAATGACCAACCAAGCTTAGTGAAATACAAACTACTGAACCAACCACCAAATATTCCGAACATTTCTTAAAAGGCAGATGACATGGTTTTGATACATGTGGTAGCTCAATGTCGCAGATATAGAAAAAGGAAAACATTTCTTTATTTGAAACATGCTTTGCTCGTGTTGACCCATTTCAACTACACAACACAGCTGCTTTGAAGGAATATCAGAACTGGTGAACTAGTCAGCTAGTGTACCACTTCCAGGAGACGAGAATTACAGATCGCTTGAGGGCAATTCAGGATAATGTAGCATCATTTCATCTCATACAAGTACTACAACCACAGCCTAGGCATCCGGGACATCGAAAACAACAGCTTTTGCACAGAGGAACGCATCTAATGAGCTAGATCCAGAACAAATCCGATTAAGCACACTGGCAAACGTCCGGAAGATGCAATGCAGGTGCTCAGACATGCTCTCCCCAGCACGCACATAACATCAAATCAACATATTGATTTCGAATTATGTGGAGTCCAGAAGGTCGCACCTTGCGATGAACGCGACGGGGAGCCGGCGACGACGAGGCGGCAGAAGACCGCGAGCCCACCTCGGCACCCGGCGGAACACGAATACCAGTCCGACACACTCAGTACCAAACCCGCGCGCGAAGGGGAAAAGACCACCTTTTTTCTGCGTGGTATAGGGACAATCGAGCGACAGAACGCGGGTGGTGGCTGGGCGGCGCGACACGAGCAGAAGGACCTCACCAAGAAACCAAGAAGACGGCGTGCGCGGCCACGGGTGGGAACTGGATCGCACGAGCCTGGCTGCACGGTTCGCTTTCTCTCTGTCTGGTACAGCAGCTCCACGGATTCCTTGTGCACGGCTCAACCCGTCAACCGAAGAAGAAGAAGAGGAAGAAACCGGTGGGCGACAACCGCGGGGATGGGAGGGACGGCGCCGTGGCTTGCTTTCGCTCTCTCGGATCTGATTCGGGGGCAAATACTCGATTCTGCCGTGTGGGCCACCGAGGGGCCCGAGGAGCAGGGACAGGCGGAGAGCGCCGCGGTGCGGACGCGCGGTGTCCGCGGCCGTTGTCTTGGGCCAACGGCGGCCGGCCGGCGCGTACGTGGCGGTCGGATAAGGTGGCCCGATGCCGAGGTGGCGGTGCAAGTCGGAGCTGAACGGGGCTGGATTTGGCCCGGACTAGCAGGTTTCTTGTTTTTGCTCTTCAGTCAGAGTTCAGATAAAACCCAATTTTCGAGTCGTGTTTGCTACTCTGAAGCTGAAAACCAGTAATTATAGTAGTGCTTGAAATTAGGTACTTGAACGTTATGGATTTACATAAACAAGTGGTTTGGAAAACCAGTAATTTTAGCAGTGCTTGCTAAAATGTGACAGAAAACCAGTAATTTTAGTCTGGTGCCATGCTAGTTCCATACGGAGGTTGGGTTAGAGATATTTTTTTTTAGAGGTCAGCATTTTTCTCAGACACCTATTGCTGCACGATGGTCACGCTGTGTGAAAGGACACGATCCAAACAAGCCCTTTATGCACCGATGATGCGATGGTCCATCTTTTTCTCGCTCTTTAATTTTTACTTGGTTTATAGTTGATCCATTACTAGTTTACTATCTCATTCATCATAAGCTAATAATTAGTACTCTCTCCGTTCCAAACTATAAATATTTTTAGTTTTTTTTATTTATAAATTTTATTATGTATCTAGACATAGTGTATGTCTAAATATGTAGTAGCAGCTATGTAATTAGAAAAGCCAACAAAACGACATATAGTTTGGAACTAATAGAGTACTAGTATATATGCGAGAAATGAAATCTTTTCACTAAATTTACATTGTGTTTGGTTTGGTTATTGGTCGTATCCAGCATGAGGATTGTCGGAGTTATAATCCCCGGATGTCTTAAGGCATCGATTAGTTAGCGTAATCGAAAGCGGTCCACGATACACCGCCTAGTGAAAGTCCGAACGATCGAGGCCAAATTTGAGCCAAGTGACTAGAACTTGTTACATCATCCTTGAAACATCATCCTTGAAACCCGGTTAAGGTCTAAATTTGAATCCCAGTTAGGGTTTACTAGAACTTGTTACATCATCCTTGAAATCCGGTTTGGATGGGTAGATGTCATGCTTAGCTTTGCAGTCTTGGGATGGGAAAGGTTGTAATTTAAACTTGATTAATGATCTATGCAATGGTTACTGGTAATGTTTTTAGCAACATGGTGAATAGGAAATCTAAGCAGGATCATTGGTTGTGTTTGATTCTGCTATGGATCCCTAAAGACCTGTTCTCGGAGCATGTAACCCGACTTAACAACAGAGCCATATAAGGTTTAGATGGGCTGGACCTGGCTAATTAATTAGGGGATCCCTATGTGGATATTAGTCTCATAGTGACATAGGTACAGAAGAAGGCTTCTATGCAGGATACCGCTTGGTACGGGAGTTGGCTCCTAGGCTTGCCTAGTCCTGTGTTACAGGAGATGGCTTCCATGCGTGCCCTGTGAGAACTAATACATATGGGAGGACTCTTTGTAAAGGCCTTGTAGTGAAACTGAAAGGACCGAGGATGCCGCCTAGAGGGAGGTGAATAGGCGTTTCTAAAAATTCAACCCTTCAAAATGCGGAAATAATTAGTGTTGGAGGTTTGAAAGGTCCTAATGGCTAGAGGGGGGGGGTGAATAGCCTAATAAAATTCTACAACAACACTTAACAAAATGTGTTAGACAATTTTGTGGCGAAGCGAGTGTTGCGCTAGCCTACTAAAATGCAAGCCACCTACCTCAATTCTATTTTGAATAGTGTATGTCCACACAATAGCTATGACACTTAGCTAAATTAGTGTGCTCTCAAAGACTAACTAAAGAGCAACACTAATCAAACAAACAACCTCTCACAACTAGCTACACTAAAGAGCTTGATAAATAGTTTGCGGTAATGTAAGAGTGAGCAAGAGAGTTATACCGCCGTGTAGTGGTAGGAACCAATCAATCACAATAATGAGTACCAATGTAGACCAATCACCTCGGAATCAAATGATGAACACAATGATTTTTACCGAGGTTCACTTGCTTGCCGGCAAGCTAGTCCTCGTTGTGGCGATTCACTCACTTGGAGGTTCACGCGCTGATTGGCATCACTCGCCAAACCCTCAATAGGGTGCCGCACAACCAACACAAGATGAGGATCACACAAGCCACAAGCAATTTACTAGAGTACCTTTTGGCGCTCCGCCGGGGAAAGGTCAAGAACCCCTCACAATCACCACGATCGGAGTCGAAGACAATCATCTCCTCCACTCAACGATCCTTGCTGCTCCAAGCCGTCTAAGTGGCGGCAACCACCAAGAGTAACAAGCGAAATCCACAGCGAAACACAATCACCAAGTGCCTCTAGATGCAATCACTCAAGCAATGCACTTGGATTCACTCCCAATCTCACTATGATGATGAATCAATGATGTAGATGAGTGAGAGTCCTTTAGCTAGGCTCACAAGGTTGCTATGTCAATGAAAATGTGCAAGAGATATGAGCCACAGCCGGCCATGGGGCTTAAATAGAGCCCCAATCAAATAGAGCCGTTATACCCCTTCACTGGGCAAAACGCGCTCTGACCGGACGCTCCGGTCATACTGACCGGACGCTGGCCCTCAGCGTCCGGTCGCCCGATGGACGCCACGCGTCACCTGCTTCAAACGCTGTTCGTCAGATTTCAACGGCTGCGAAGCTGACCGGACGCTCCGGTAAAACTGACCGGACGATGAAGCCCCAGCGTTCGGTCGTTTCCAGTAAGCTCCCCGAGGCATGTTTTTTCGACCGGACGCGTCCGGTTCACCTTGACCGGACGCAGCTAGAATCCGGTGCTCAACCTTAGCCACTGTGCCATCTGACAGCTCGACCGGACGCAGCCTTTCAGCGTCCGGTCGCTGAGTGACCCAGCGTTCGGTCAGTAGACCGACGCCAGCATCATTTCGATCAACTCCATTTCAACTCTTACTTCTTCACCCTTGCTCAAGTGTGCCAACCACCAAGAATTTTGCATCCGGCGCAATAGAAAATAGACATTTCATTTTCCCGAAAGCGCCGAATATTTACACCTTGTGCACATGTGGTAGCATATTTACACAAATATTATCAAGGGTGTTAGCACTCCACTAGATCCTAAATGCATATGCAATGAGTTAGAGCATCTAGTGGCACTTTGATAACCGCA